AGGGCAAATTCCAGTGGTACCCGGACATGAATTTTTCTCGCAAAATGCAGCTTCTGGTTGTGGCCAGCTTGACCAGCTCCGTTCTGTCCGGCACTGCGTAGATTGGTATATAATGGGCGAGCATGCCTGTCTCAAAACATTCCTTCTTTTTCGAGCACGCAGACGCAGCCGGTCGCGTCCCGGACAGCACACATCCTCCTCCGCAACAGCAGCAGCAGCAGCAGTAAGCTCCAGTAGCAGCAGCAGCAGCGCTGCATCGGTACAGCAGCGTTATCGTCGTCATCATCAACGTTACCCTCATCATCGTCGTTCAGCGCTACCCTCATCGTCACCATCATCATCATCATCGTCATCATTGTCCTTACCGTCATTACCATCATTGCTACCGTCTTGTTCTTGCTCGGTTGTCGTCATTGCGGTGGTCTGTGTTGTTGTTGCTCCTGCCGGTCACCGTCGTCGTCGTCGTCCTCGTCGGCAGCCTAACAGCGTTCGCGAAAATCAATAATTGCAAAGTGGCATGTTCTCGCGTACTGGAAATTACTGGGCTCGAAGTGCACAGGAGTAGTTCTGGAAGAAGAACGGGCATCGGCACTTTTTCATCTTTCTCTCCCTTCCCCCGCATTGCAACTTCCTTTGGAGAAGCGGGTGCGCTGGGTTGCATAGGCGCGGGTATCTTTTCCCGCGGGTACCACGGTAGGGTTATGTACCGGTAGCTCGGTGAGCCTGCCCAGCAGATGGGTTCTCTCCTATTCCCATGTTTTTTGAGATATATGTTGCGTAGAATGTATTGCGACGACGCTAGCAGCACGTGAGCTGGTTACGTGGTCGTTGCGTGAGGAGGATTGGAAGATTGGAGAAAGTTGCTGTGAAACGCGCTGTTTTATAAATTTTACTGTTGTTGTCCTATGCAAAGGCGCAGTAAGAAGTTGTGCTAAACGTAAGGAATTCGACAGTGCCACTGGCCAGCCAGTCCCTCCTCTACGATTCGTTCATTCGTTTCGATGGTAAATTAGTACTGGCGCAGCGCCAAGGAGTCAGTGCCGCCATCAGACTAAGGAATAAATCTGAATGGGAATGTTTCGATCCATAAAGCAGGCAAATTTCGGAGGAGAGGGCTTCGACAGACTCTGCCAGCGGGTGGTTGGCGTTGGTTAAAGGTACACCTTGAACTACTTCGGAATGCTAGCGCCTGTCAAGACAAAGTCAAAAACCTCCTCTGTATTCGCTCTAAGTGAAAGGCAGGGGCATTTGAGATGTTGCCCAAGTGGTAAAGAACGCCAACAGCAACCATTCGCGATGGCTCCGATGGCTCCCTCTTTCGACGAACATTCCTTGAAAATTTCAGCGCCCTAGCTTTCCTTGCTTATTTACAAGTAAGCTGATGGCGGATGAAACTTCGACGAACATTCCTTGAAAATTTCAGCGCTCTAGCTTTCCTTGCTTGCTTACAAGTAAGCTGATGGCTGATGACACTACGGATTTGGTTATAACTTTTGACAAGTATTCATTTGTACTGGCACAAAACTGAGAATCTTAATGCGAACCTTAACGATATTTCGGAAAAAAAACCATAGGCCAACTCAGCAAGACAGCACCATTGGGATATTCGTTATATTCCTGCGCCATCCTCGTTTACTGATACTTTTGCAGATGACTGAAGTGTGCTTTTCCCTCAAAGCAT